AAGGTGGGGGGGATAGATGTTCAAGAAAAACTTTCAGGAAACAAATGAAATAAATAAATAAGCGGAGGACTAAAACTCTTCCGCTGGAAAGTCTAAATCCAAAACCGATCAAAAAGACTTAAAGGGAAGTATTTAAGGAGGGAAATCCTCATCCTGTCTCCCTTTCTCTCCCGCTGTACATTCCCGTTTGCCACCAGCGCAGAGCCGCTCTGAGCCATCACTCAGTGAAAACAGTGATTTCAGCCAGGCTCGGGGAGGGATCACGCATCCTGTGCTCGGCACAGGGACGCAGCCTCGGGCACAGGCTGTCACTGCCACGGGCACGCAGTGGCGCTGCCTCGAGAAGTGCCCGGCCAAGGCAGCGTGCGGCAGCGCGGCCGGCACGGGATCCCTGTGCAGCTGGGAAAGTTCAGAACGCGATTTTGCTGCTTGACCTCACACACCTGTCACGCCCAACTTTACGAGACTATTTCACCAGGAAAGGCATGGCCGGTATAGTCCCTCTCCTCTCCTCTCCTCTCCTCTCCTCTCCTCTCCTCTCCTTAAGCAGATCATCCCTACAGTAGATAGAGCAGACTACCTCGAAACCTTCCAAACCCCATAGCCAACGGTCTCCTTTCATCATTTTGCCGAGGCGATATTGCATTCATTTCCTAGTGATTCATTAAATGGAGATTGCTAGAGCCTCCAACTCAGGCTTTGGGAAAGAAACTGTCCCTTCTAGAAAAAAACCCAACAAATAACCCAGAACAAAAATCCCTAACTTACAAAATCAACCCACTCCAAACACAAAACCACTCTTCCCACTTCCCATATTTTTTTCTTTTTCTTATTTTTAAAAATATTTTTTGGTTATTTTGGTTTGGTTTGGTTTTGATCCACTCTCAGCAAAACAGAGTGGATGCCTCAGACTGAAACACTTTTGTAGTAAAACGCACACCACAGAGAATCACGTCTGTGCCCTGTTGCCTTTTTTTTTTTTTCCCCTACAACTAATCATTCATTTTTGCTTTACGGAGACGTCGTTCCTCTCTGGTCCGGCACAAAGAGCCATTTCCAAACGGTCAATTATTGACCGAAAAGCTATTTTTCAAGCTCGGCCAAGCTCCTGCTGCCCGCCGGAATGCACTGCTCTTATGAGCACCTGGCAGCAGCGTGATGCAGAATGACAGGAGACTTCGGAGAGGAGTGAGAGGGGCCAAGAGGGTGGTAAAGCATCGCTCTGATTGCCTTTCTTTTATTGGTAAGTGAGTCATCAGTGAGGTGTCGTAACACTTCCCCGCGTCCCGCCGGCGTCCCGCCGTGCCCCGTGAGCATCGCCCGCCCGGGGCGCGCTCCCTCCCGGGGCGGCCCGCACGCCGGGGACAGGGACCGGGCACTTGTTGCAGCTTCCCGACCGACATTCTGCTGCGCTAACTGGAAGGCGTGGAAGGGCTAAGGCATGCTCGGGCGCCCTCGGGGACGGGGTGAGCCGTGCCCGGGGCTGGCGGCACGGCATCCCTGCATCGATCCCATCATCAGGTCTCTTTCACTCAACTCTTAAAGATCCAGTTTTGCAAGCAGGGACTCTAATAGAAATTCCCTCCTCCCCTTCCCGCCCCCAAATTGCATGAATTCTGTATGGAAAACGCCTTCTAGTTCCGCACTGCCTGGACCTGTTGCTGCTAATGGTGCGACGGGGAAACGCGCTCGCCGATCGCTGCTGTGTGCCGCGGGGGCGGATTCCCCGCAGCCGGAGGCGGGGAGGGAATCCATCAGCGGGGCTCCTTTCCGCACCCAGGAGCGGAGCCGCTGCCCCGCGGCGGCCGAGGGACTGCCCCGACCATCCCGACGCTCCCCTCCGCCGCCATCCCATCGCCCTTTCCCAGCACTGATCGTTACTATTCTGATGAGGCGATTTTGGTTCTGTCTGTGCTGCCCTTTTGGAGCCGAGTGTGGAACCTCTAGTTAAAAAGCTAGAGCTTAGTCTGGGAATAGCACTCCACATATATTTGTATATACCGCAAGGCTCCCGTCAGGGCTGAGCGCCGGTCTCTGTACCATAAGAGATAATTGATTTCTATCCTGCACAGACAGGCTTAAAAATGAAATTTCTCTTGCTGAGGCAATTGACCTTGATCTGCTGGTGGAAAAAAGAGATGGTTTAAGTCTGCTTCTTCTGTCCCCCTCCCTCCATGTTTCAAATCTTGGAAAACTTTATTTAAAAATAATTTTTACACTTGATCTTTATAATGAAAAAAGTTTGAGCTCATACATAGCTATCTGTCTCAAGATTTACCCACACATGATGTAAAATAATAACTATGAAGATAAACTAGGCATAGTTTACATTGAGAAATCTTGATAAGGATTGTGTACATTTCCATGTCTGTTCATTGCACATAAGAATGTATTAATATATATTAATATATAAGGTTACATATCTATGTAATATATATATATACTCATGTAATATGTGAGTAAACTCTAAGCATTAATAATGATCTGTCATGAGAAGTTTTAACGGATTCCCCACAAGACAGATGCACACAAATCCTCCTGCGGACCCTTCTTCATTTTCACCATATATATAAGACAAGTTTGAGAGCTGACCTTTAAATTACCCTCACAGACAAGTAGCTTGAGGCATTTTGTCAGTACTGGAGATCCCTCAGAAGACCACAGGCATCATCTTTGCCTCAGGTGTTGTGGTATTTAAAATCAGACTAACAAAAAAATCAGATGTAAATGTAAATACTGCCCCTTTTGTAGATAGCTCATCTGCAGTATAAGCAAATGAGGACAGGAAAAATGGGAAGAAAACTGATAAAAGAGTAACAGCAAAATCCAATGATATAAGAAAATAACCTACAGCATATCTTACAGTCCTCACACAGTTCAGACTGTTCACTTCTGTGAAAGTTTTGCCTGCATAAATGCTGGCCAAAATCCTGTTCCAAACTTTTAAAGATAGTATATGCTGTCTTTGTTAATCATATGACAATGATACTATTCCTATCACTGCTAAACATAAAAACTAACTTGCCAAACTCATGAGCCCTAATTTTAATAGTATTAATTGCCTAAGGACATACATTAAAATGAAGATGGCAGAAGTATTCTACAAGCTGAAAAATATCACAGTTGGAAACTACAAGGAGATTAGTTTTCCTCTTATATAACCATTTTTTAAAAAGTAAATGAAACAGTTATTTCTGTTAAAGAATCATAGCTAATGCTTATAAAAATTGCATAGTGGCCCTGATGACACTAAGACAAGAGGCTGATTAGAGGAAAAATAAAACTAGTCAAGTATCTTTGTACTGCTTCAGAATCTGGTAGAAGAAAAAAATCATGGCACTTCCATAAAAACATTTATAAGTCCATATGGTGTTTGTCATCTGGAAGATAGGATGTACTATTAAGATTTTGTGAATTCTGGTTGCCTCTTTGATCGTATGACTATAAACCTAAAAGCAGGTGTCAACAACCAACAGTGCCCACTCACACTCCAGCTCCAGGCTGGTTGTGTTTGCTCTCCAAGGGAGAGGTCCACTGCTATTTATATCATGGAGTCTGATTTCCATTCATGGGAGCTGGAAGATGCTCTCCATGCTGGGAGGAAGCTGTGACATGTCAGTGGTTTATAACAAAAACTAACTTATCACCAGATGGGGGAATGCACAAAATGCTCCCTGACAAGGGCAACTCAGCCTCTGTGATGGGAAGCAGCAAGTGTCCCTGCCCTGAGGGGCTGGTGGGACAGGGGTGCAGAGGCTGTGACAGCCTCTCACAAACCCACCCACTCTGCCTTGGTGAGAAAGGAAAAGGTGAAGGAGAATTCCGGAGGGACGGGACGAAAGCAAAAGTCTCGGGATAGGATTTACTCTTACGAGTATATGCTGCTGATTGTACTTCTAACCTGGGAGGACAGCTTTTTCTCCTAAAGAATTACTCAGGGATAGGATTTACTCTTACGAGTATATAACCCTGCTGCTGATTGTACTTCTAACCTGGGAGGACAGCTTTTTCTCCTAAAGAATTACTCTCCAGTGCAAATAAGAACAGAATCTGGCTACTTTCTATTTGGTTCCCCCAGCTCCAAGCAGAGGCTCTCAGGTCGGTGTGGGTTCAATTTAACTCTTACAGGTACATGGTGATCAGTTCACAAGGCTGAGTTAGGTGAGCTTTCCAGGGATGCTACCATGGTTTCTGGCTCAGCAGTGTCATGGAAGGACAAAATCCTTCCCCTGACTCAGAGTACACAGGATTCTGGAAACTTTGACAAGATTTAGGCCTGCTTATTTCTGGGCCATGCTTTGTGAATCTGTCCTGGTATATTGGTGACACAGCACATGTATAGGTGGTATGGTGACAAGAGTCTCTGCTACTCCCTGTAGCAATCTGTTTTCTCATATCCACTTGATTTTGGGAACTGAGACCTTCCAGTCTTCTGGAAACCTTGAAAATAGCATTTAATTGGTCTAAGTATCACAGGTGAGTGTGTTATTTTCCCTTCTAGGGTTTTATCCTTTCACCTTAAGAAACCTTATCTGAATGACCACTCTTTAGATAAATGAGATGTATAATTATTTTACTATTTCTCAGGAAAGAGAACCAGAGGGTCCCTTCATGGTATCCAGAAAGAGGAACAGTTAGAGAAAGGCCTGGAGGGGAAGCTGGACTTGCCACCTTTTCCATGTGTTTCTGGGGACAGAGCTGTGCAGAGGAGTAGCCCACACCTGTAGGGAAGCACAGGGACTCTGAGGGGACATCTGGCTGAAACACAGTTGGGTCCAAGGTGGGAGCCCTTCTCTGGGAGAAGCAGCAGCTCTACCCAGAAGATAAAGATCAGTTACGTTTGAGGCTATTTCCTGCAGCTGTTGCTGTGCCCTCCATCCCCACGTTCCCAAAGCTTCCCTTGATGGCAAGGTGCCCACATCACACCCAGCATCAGGGTGAACTCCTCACCTGCCATGTGATGACGCACTTTGGGGCAAGAGGAGGAAAGTGTGCCCTGATTCCGCTTGGGGCCAAAGATCCCTTCTTTCATCCCTGCCAGGAAATGCTGTGCTGAGGCACAACCTTGCAAAACCCTGGGCTGTGGAACCTGCAGCACTGCTAGGCTGGCTTGTGAAGTGCCTTCTGCTCCACGAAGGAGAGTTTTCCCCGGTAAGCCTTCTGCAGCCTTCTGTGCCCCAGTTTCAGCATGGGCACAGCCTGGTGGGACAGGGAGTGTTCGCCCTGGCGAAGGAAAGACACCTCACTCCAGGTGTGTGGTGAGAGACAGAATGGCCTGAGACAGGAAATGTGTGGAGAAGGGCAGGGAGGTGGTGGGAACGTGCACCCACTGGGGCTCGGCCACAGCCACCACAGCCTGAGACAGCCTGGGACATCTGGCTGTGCAATGCCCCTTGTGCCTGCAAGCCAGAGCAACCTGTGCCTGATGGCTTTCTGTGCACCCACTGGGGCTTGGCCACAGCCACCACAGCCTGGGACATCTGGCTGTGCAATGCCCCTTGTGCCTGCAAGCCAGAGCAACCTGTGCCTGATGGCTTTCTGTGCCTGATGACAGGGAGTGGGTACTGTTTCCATATGCTACTGAAAGTATTCACTTTGCTGCTCTGAAGGCCTAACTGACTTCTATTATCCAGCCCACTCCCACTGAATGACACATCTTAATTTTCAGTTGTAAGAAAGAATTTGCATTTGACAGAAACCACAGTATTACTGAAAAGACAAAACCATTCCTGTGGTTTTCTTCAATATAAATTATCAGGCCAGAAACAATTGAAATGTAATTTTTTGCAAATGTTTCTACACGCACACACACAATTTCACAGTTATTATCAATTATAATAAATTAAAATACTGTTAATAATCCAGTGATATATATTTGATAATTGTATTATTTCTAGAGAAAATTGTTACTCTATGGATCATCATCTGTTTTCTTATATTTTTACATGGTATTGTAAAATTCTCTCTTGCTTAAGTATATGTGCAAATTAATCATAGGCTCACTCAATTGTAGTGATTTTTTCAGTTTGGATACCCAGAAATTAATATATTTACACAGAATCTTCAAAACAGTTAGAAAACTGTTACTTACCAGCTGATGTAAGTCCATGTTTTATAGATTCCTGTATGATGGCTGCGTGAGAACCAGAAGACATTGTTAGGTGTAAATATACCGTACCCTTGGGTACAAGGGGTACAGCATTGAGTACAGGAGAGGTGCAGCCTGTAAACTTTTCTGGCCTTGAGACCCAGGCTATGATAGCCTTCAGTGAAAGTCGGCGTGATGAACAACAACAAAAAAAAAATATCCAAGAATTCAGAAAGTAACAAGCATGTCTTTGAGTGGACTCTGTACTTTTTCCAGCATTAGTGACCTGCTGTAAACCATGTATCCCATTTCATGATAGTCTCTAATCAGAAGAATTGCAACTTGTGATAGGTTTGGTACCATCACGTGATTTAGTACAGCTTGATAAGAGACCCTGTTATAAAGTGACAGCCAAAGAGATAAGAACTGTTGGCAGATAATGGCAGAGAAATGATTAACCTGGAGTGGAGAGGTGCTATGAAGCCCAGAGAGGGGAAGGTTGTAAAGTTGTGGGGTCATAAGATCATACTGAGTGGATGAAAAGCCATACCAACATGAGTGTAATGTCTATAAACTCAGACTTGTGACCTGTCTTCTTGATGTCATCACCTCTTTGCACAGTGGACAGCAAGCATGGTTGTTTTGGCTTCTGTAAACACTCTTTGGATGGCAAAACAATCGAGCATTAATTCCTTAAGGGAGGCTTCTGAATGCACTGGGGATTCTACACTCAGACTAACAGCACCAGCAAATCTCTCCTGATAGTTTGTCACACAAAACCATTTTATTGCCCCAGTCCTCAGGCTGGAGAGTAGCTCCAGGTTGAAGCCATTTAGTTGAAAGCATGTACTACTTTCTCACTAAAGAGCTTTACAGCATGGTTAAACATTGATATCCCCGGATTATGATGTGTAGAGTATTGCGTTCACCTCTAAGGCTGTGAGGCACAAACCCTACCCACAGCATGTCCAATGGCTGTCAAGTGTTTGGCTTTAAACAATTTTCATGAAAGTGGGCAGCTGTGCAGATGACTGGGTGATGTTTCAGCTCAGCTGGGAGAGGGTCAGGTTCTGCTTTCCGCCTGTGCAGGGGAAGGGCAGGGGCATGTCAACTCCCAGCCTGAGCACAGTGTGCCTTGCTCTGCAGTGCCACCGACAGCCTCTGCAGCTCCAGCCCAATAGATCAAGTCTGCATACACTTTGTGAGATCAGACTCAAGCCTGAATAATCAGATGATATTTTATATTTAATTTCTCTTGAAAAATAGAGTGAAGCTGTTCCACTGTGGGCTAGATCTGAAGCCTCTTGAAGTCAGTGAGAGTTTTTTTCTCTTTAAACTTGCGGAGGGCTGTAAAGCAGCATGTGCCTTTTTATATACTTTGTCATGGTGGTTAAATTTTGGTGACACAGTGGCAAACAGATTAGCTCATGCACAAACTGAACTGCTTCTCTTGGCTAGGATGAGAACTTGAGAGCTGGTCTGAAAACAGGGCTGGTGTGGCAAACCAAGCAGTGACTGGGCCTTACAGCCAGGAACCCTGAATTATCACTTGGCCTGTGCAGTACTGTCCTCCTGTAGAGACCCTGTTAGTAAGGAGGACAGGCTGTATAGGGAAGGTCTGATTTCCCAAATTCTTATCTTCACATTTGCCACTGGAAAAAAATGAATTTACAAATCTGCTTAAACTGGTACTGTATTTTTTAAGGGTCACTGATATTTTTTATCTGTTTAGACTGAGTGAAAGCTGGAAGCCAGCTTTCAAAACTGATTCCATATAAACCTAAAATAACTGGACTCTGTCTCTTTTAATTCATTTGGTTATCAAATAGATTTTCAATTGTATTCATAAAAAGTGGAAAGAAACATTTATTCCATCAGAAAAGGCATGTCTTTGGGGACTGGGGATAAAATAAATGAGAATTGCTGCACATGATACTGTGGTTAGAAACTTTCCATTGTATCATCAGACACATTGCTGGAGCACTGTTGGCCCATCTTCAAGAGCTTCTATAAAGGAATCCGCCGTATGTGGGGGAGAGAGATATTAAATCATAGGAAATATAGAGAAACTTCATGCTTTTGGCTTCAAACACTGTAATTCCTTTCCTTTTTTGCATCAGTATCAAATGTCAGGGTCACTGAAAAATGTTCTATTTTTCCCTTTCTGATACTTTGTCTCCACGGACAGAGGAATGTATGCCAGGTGCATAACCAGACAGACTTTCTTTGCCTTTCTTTATAGCTAGTCCAGTAGGGGAAAATAAAGTCCTAGGGAAACTCCAGGACAGCCTATATCAGCCTGTGATCCAGCAGCTCGATGTGTTTAGCAGTGATCCATTTGGAGTCCAAGTGAAACGAATCCATAATGAGGCTTACGAGTTGTGCCACTGAAGTACCTGAGTTCACGGCTCATTACTTTGCTTGATCAGGAATTTGGAACTGTAACTTTTCACGAGTAAGTCCCTGCTGAGGCAGCCACCAAGCTCACCCAGAACAGCTTTTCCTAGCTGTGGTTGGAGCATCACAGACTCACCTTGTATTTCTCTGTTTTTCAGTACTCCCTCTGCCTTTCTTTCCTTCCCTTGTCTACATCCTGAGAAGGTGAGATGAGTTAATTTTGTTTTTTCAAACATGCTTTTCTGTCTTAGATCTTTCAGGAATATGATGAACTGATAAACTTTTAGTTTCTTTTTTGTTTAACCAATTCTTGTGTGATGAAATTGTCCCTTGTTTGTCCCTCTGACAAATGTCCCTCAAAGAAAGTGTTCCTGATTTCAAAAGCTTGGCAACAATCCCTTCTTTGACTCTTGCACATCAAATTATTTTGCAACCATTTACCACAAAAATGGAGTCAAAAGGAGTTTCTCCTCTTGAGGGCATTTCCATAGGTGGCATTTCATTTGGGCACATAAAACTATTAAGAAATAAGCCTCAAAAATGGACTGACTGACATTAAAAATTACCTTTTCAAAGAGCTTTAAACCCTGAGTTGTATATCTTGGTGTAAATTTAGTGAGCTCAGTCATGGTTTCGTAATTTTCCTGTAACATTTTGGATATTGCTTATCTGAATTCAGCATGTTCCTTTTCATTTTCCTATGCCATCTCGATGTATTATTGTTTTTATTATCCATACAACTCAGAAAAGATATGTGCTCAGCACAGCACACATCAAACGAGGGACATGATTCTCATTCTACTGAAAGCTCAGGGCAAACGTGGCACTGATGTTGGCATGGTGCCCCCAGGCATGAGCGCTCTGGTCCTGAGTGTAGTCCAGTTGGTTTCAGCTGGAGCTTTGCATAGGTGGGAAGAGATTTGCAAGCTCTGTTCTTTGATCTAGAAATCACTCTTTTAAAAGTTTTCTCTATTTCAGTCATTCCAATGTTCCTCCTGATCTATCACAGACATATAAAATTCTTTTGGATGCTTCAGGGTATTTTCTCCACCTTCGTGAATTTTATTTCATATATGCAAAACCAAGTCATTAAAATACAGTTTTATGCCTTTTCCTTAGTAGTTCTGTAAAAGAAATTGGGAGAATCTGATATATCTGATGATCTTTACCCTTTGGATTTTTCAGTGATGACAGTACTGAAATAGAAGGTTTAATTTTTTAAGGAATTTCCAGCAGTTGATCCTTAATTCCTGTATGGTCTTACGGTACAAGTGCACTATTAAAATTTCTTGTTAGTTTTGTTTTGTACTTGTATGTATTTTACACATTATGTTTATCAGCTCAGTAGAATGCAATTGCATTAAATACATTTCAGTGTCTGCTACTCCTTTACTCAGGATTTTCAGCTTATTGGAAAGGAACTGTGGAGAGCAGAAGCTGCTGCATGGTGCCTTCTTTATGGGTGTCCAAATATGAACTTCTTTCCTTGATTACATTTATCAGAATATATTAGTCTCTCATGTTTCTGTTCTTTGTTTAAATGAATACAATTTAATATAAACCATATTTGGAGATGAATAATGAAATGTAGGAATTATAAAATTGCTTCCTGTGATTTTTCCTTACTAATTACAACAATTATTTCAGTCAATATTTCTGATGATAA